GGCTCGGTGCAGCCTGGTGTGTTGTCTGGGTAGACAATAATATGTTCATCAGACTGACTTTGAAGAAGTGATGTGTGAGCAGTAAAATACTTGCTATACACTTATGCTCACAGATACCTAGACATGCTCATATTCTTGGGTCACCCAATGGATTAATCACCTGTTAAGTTGTATGTTGGCTCTTTGTCCTGTGAATCTATGATTTGCATAATTCTATTGAAATTATTTGATGAGAGGTTTCTATTCATTTTAATGGGATTTAGAATGTGTGGGAGATACTTCATAACCTTTAATAAGAGTCCCAATTCATATATAAAGTTGTAGCAGGCTTATGAGTTTCATTTGAGGACTGCATATATTGCCAGTGTTGTTGTGCCATCTCTTAACCCCTGTATAACATATGGTCTTTGAGGTATATATACTCAGATGCATAGACAGTATATTTCTAAATACATAACAGATGCACAATGGCACCATAGACTGAATGTATTATGGCCTCAAACCATTATCACACCCCTCGCAGTTGCATTTTATTTTTTTCACCTGCTCCCGTGTTGTACACCTGTGACTTGTTGGCAGTGAATTGTGTTGCAGTGTGGGAGACTCCCAGCTTGACTGCCAGGCTTGTAGCTTTGCTTCATCATGCACTGCCTTTTTTTTTGAGTCTTTCTCCCAATCTTTATACAGCTTGTAAGAGGGCTTTCTGCTGCTGTAAATGATCATTTTCCAAATTGGTTTCTTTTCTTTTTGATAAAAAATTGTGAAATGGAGTTTGCCATGCAACTGCTTCAGTAATACCATACTATGTACGCATAAAACAACAAAGAAATAATCATCCAAGATACCCAACAAAGATGGCTTGAACCAACTGCAACTGCAAACCTGGAGAGTCCCTGGCAACCCATATTGGAGGGCTCTTGATCACACAGAGGTGCCAGTTAGTCATTTTTAAAATCGTTTTATTGTCCACAAAAGCTGTCACCCAATTCCAGGGTCACTGTTGCTTCCCGAAATAGTTCTTTCCCCTTGAGCACTGAGGCAACCATGGGGCTCAGGCAGTTGTCTTTTTCAGTGGATTTAACTTTCAGAATTGCCATCTATTTTGAATGATATTTTGGCTTTTTTCATAACTTAAATTTCCCAACCTTGCCATAGGCTGGGACTTCCCTGCTGTTGCTAGGCTGGTTGATACTCCTGCAGAGTTTTCCAGTTGCTGGCTTGGAGCGATGTATTCTGGGGTAATAGTGGTGCACCCTCATTTCGTGAAAGGACTTAACACGCACTGTAAAGAATCATTAGTACCTGGTTTTTTGTCAAGGTATGGCAAGCTGCTTTCCCTGCCAAAACACGTAAATATACATACATGGACTTGTACACAAAAAGAGCCTGGCTGGGAGATGGGGAAGATATAGCATCAATTTCTGTGGCTGCTTTAGTTTTCCTTTGCAGGTCACCTTTAAGCATTTTTTTTCTGAAGTGTAACTTGCTGTGTTGAAATAGCCATCTGAGGCAGTCTTGTTTCCCACTGCAGCTCTAAACTACCCTTCTGTTGGTAGGAAATGAGGATTTTCACAGTCGGTCAACAAAAGGTTACTTATCACAGGTACGCGTGTAGTGTAGGTATACTGAGAAATGCAGCCTGTTTACTGGCCTTCAGATTTAGCACTTTAACCTGCCTGGTATAGCAGTCCAGGTTTAGTACAAAAGATAAAGTAAAAAATGTATCTTGTCTCGTTAATGTAAGGTGTGCCAAAGGTTTTACTTATTGCCCAAACTTAGTTTCTCTATTTCATTTAATTTATTACATAGTTAGCATATATAATAAATGAACTTCTCCCCTCAAAGAGCTTGAAATAGATTTTCAAGTCACTACTGATAAGGTTGAAATTCATGTGGGATGAAAATCTGGTTTTGGTGCTGTTTGTTGTCAGCAGTGAGCAGCTACAAAGTTTGGGCTAATGTGTTAAAAATGCTCATGAAAGGGGACAAGAGGCCTCTTTTTGAGATCTGCACAGTGCACTGCCAATAAACCAACTCACATACTACAAATATGAAAAAACAAGAAAATAGTGAAGGCCAGAAGTAGTTAGGCTTTGGATGGAAGGGACATTTATGGGGTCTGAAACATTTTAACAGGTGAAAATCCTGACAGAAGGTGGGTACATTGCTGTAAGTCTGCACCTGCAGTATTTGTGGGGTTATCACATACAGAATCCCCACAGTCAAGAACACCCAGGTACTTGTGCATGCAAGATGTGCATGTTTGCCCATTTGGCTCATGGAAGTGCAGCTTTTTTGTAGGCAGATGAAGGATTTAGCACCCACAGACATTTGTGCCCAGGGATACTAGATCTTGATTTTTAAGGTCTTTCATTTATTAATTATTTGGGGCAGTGTGTAGTTGGCAGGTTGATTGCCTGTAATGCCTGTGAGAAAAAGTAGGTTTCCCCTAATTATTAACAATAAATCAAGGTCAGCTTATGGAAAAAGTATATCTGGCCCTTTTTACTGATAGATGGCTTGTATTTGGCTTATGAGCTTGTACATGACCTCGGCTCTGAATAACTGCTGTCTTTGGCATAATCTGTTCGCATCTTCATGTAGACTCTGCTCACCCAACCAGTATGTCCTTTGTATTAGATGTGTTCAGAACATATTATTAACCCATGTTTGAGAAGGGAGGGTTCACAATGAGAGCTTCATTATCAGATTTAGAGCCACATACCATTCCTTTATTGACCTGCCTGGTGTAATCAATGCAGCAGCCACACAGGTTTGAAATCATGTTCCCTGACTGTAGACTGTGCACCCTGCCTCTAGTGCTGATTGTGCATTATCTTTTCAATGACACTGCCTAAATAAGTATGGATTTGTCTACCGTGAATAGCCTTGTTTCGATTTGAGGATGGTAAACCTTTCACATTTTTTTTATTGGTATTCAGGATGACCTAAAAATAGAATTGTAATGAAGTGCACTAGAAATGGCCATTGTTAAAATGCTCAGGAGCATGCTTGAGCACAGGGAGACAGCTGCGTGTTCCTCATCAGTTGTTTTTTTGGAAAAGGTCTTTTCAGTTATCTTAATGTACAAGCTTTTTTATCAATCTGATTGCTGCCTTATTTGGCTACATTAGTCCCATTCCATGACTTTGTTGCTTACCTTTGCCTTCGTGAATAACATGCGGCATTGCAATGGTCATTCTTCTGTAAGACTGCTAAAATCTCAATGTAGAACAAAGTGAAGAAAAAAAGGCAGATTTTAGGTTTGGTTGTATTTAAATCATCTACAAGCAACATAGTTTTGAATCTGATTTCTTCTCACATTATTCAGATGCAGGTTATGGTACTTTAGCAAGTTTTCTGTTTCTGTCTGTTTCCCTGGTTTTGACTTTAAAATATTAAGCTTCATTTAGTATTGTGATATATAGGCACAAAATTGTTATGCTGTAGATGAGCCTTATGCAAAACAAACTGTAGTCATCTTCCTATTACATTAATTGATTGTCTTTTATTTTCACAAGGTATCATTCCTTGCATGTTCAAAACAGAATGCATCTGCCTTTCCCTTACCCTTTTGTCATGTTGAAGCCCAAACATCATTGTATAGACTTTCATAAGTCCGCCTGCCACAATATTGCTGATAACTTTTGACATGATTTAGGAACTCAACAGCACTTCTGACACCTGGTGGTCAGTTATTGGGAATGCACAGATGAGAAAATAATACAGACTTCAAATGGGGTCACTGCTACCTAGAGAGAGTAGGCTTGCGGATGGAAGGTTCATTAGTTAAATGATTCCACAAGACAGTTTTCATTAGATAGATGTCATTGCCATGATAAAGGAGCAGATCTGCTTTTTTTCTGATTGAGGTACAACTGTGAATAGAATTTAGAAGGGCCAGATGATTTATGAAAAGTTAAAATAGCTTAATGTGTTTAGAAGTAATGCCGTTGTAAATAAATAATTTGAAGTCCAAATTCATTCTGCTTTTAGAAACTTTTCCTTCCTGTTTGGTGGACCTGCACAACACCAGGACTAAGCAGATGGAAATCAGTAGAAGAAAACTAGCGTGGAATAAAATGAAATGTGTGAATTTTGACAGGAGAGCCCTGCAGATTTGAAAACATTTAGGCCTCAGCCCTGAAAAGCCTATGCAGCAGGCTACCTTTAGTCACACAAATGGTCCTGTTGAATATGCATGGAAGTATAATTACCTCCATGCATGTTTCCAGAATTGGGGCTTTAGTGCGAGCAAAATTTACATTGCTTTGGATTGCAGTGAAAATATGGCTCCAAGATTGCTTCATGATTTATCCAGCTTCTGCATCAAGTGGTGTGACTGGACTGTAATGTCTCCCTCCTCTGTTCAGAAATGTTGTGATGGCATGTGGTAGTTACAGCTACTAAAAATGAAGAGCTGTACAGCAAACTATTCTTTACAAAGATTTAATTTCTAGGGTATATGCCCAGCATTGTTTTTTCTGCTGTGTATGTTACCTCGTTGTCTGAACTGGTGCTTCATTTCTTATTGCTGGAATATTTCTTGGACTGAAAAGTGTGTGTCACAATCTGGTGTCTCTTTCTGCCAGTGCTTATACCAGTCACTAGTGAGAATAAAGAGTAAAATATGGCAAGCGTTCCCACGGCGATTCAGATTTTTTTTTAATTGTTTCAGTGAAGGGATTCCCTAAAGGCAGATTTTTCTTGGGAAGTGTTACTGCTTTTCCTATACGTATTGAAAAACCTCATGGCTCTGTTTGGCTGATAGAATTTTTTTTTCTAAGTTCATGCCAGCATTAACAGATCTATCAGTACAAAGCAAATGTGTCATATTGGCAGCTGTTACTTATGAGTACCTTTTCTTTATTGCATTTTGTTTTGTAATAATTGAGAAGCTTTTATGTTGAGCTCTGCATAAATGGTACTGAGTAGGAGGGTATGGGCATGCTTTCTATTATTCTGCCCCTCATGTATGTCTCCTTTTTTCGTCTTTCCAGAACCACACATTGAGCCAGCACGCACAGTGAGCCACTGGCACTACAGGACACCTCTCTGCAGAAGACTTGACGGAGGCACAGTGGGGAGGACCATTTGAACATTACATCCAATCAAAGTGTCATTTGCAACCCAGATGTAAAACTCTAATGATTTGGCCATGAGGCGCTGCTATTATAAGCAGCTGGAAATGAATATTAATGGAAGAGATTAAAAGTATTCCATGCTCAGTATTTTTTATTGTCCTGCTTCAGCTAGTGTACTTTAGAGCTTCTGCTTCTGACTGAATTTATAGTGTTAGATAAATCTGCTTTGATGCTGTTGCCCTTTGTTGCTTCTTGTATTATATTGATAGTTAAAGATTAGGTGTGATTTTTTTTTTTGTTAACTGCCTTTTAATTGCAACTTTAGGTAATTGTGCATTGTGATGTGATTGCTTGGCTATTGTCTGAATATTTCTTTTTAATTTTTTTTAATTAAAGACTAATGCTTTGATTGGATTTGCCAGTTCACCGGACAGTGATTAAAACTATGTAATGAATATAATCGGTTTCAGTGCAACTGGATGGTCTGCTTTATAAATGTGACTTAATCTGATTGCAATAACTAGTACAGTTCAATAAAGGGAATACATGCAATTAGTGTCGGAGTTTCAATCCATCTCTGGGTGCACTCACTGAGTCATCCTCACCCATATGTTTGTGTCAGAAGACTGAAATATAAAATAATGTATTCCTGTAAGCCAGAGAATGGTCTCCAACCCAGGAAAAGTGAAGCAGTACAGGAAGTGAACAAGACTTCTGCCTGTATGTAGCAGTTTATTTTCTCCTTGAGGCATGCATAAAACTCCTTTCAGGTTAATGGGAGTTCTACACCTGCATTACAATGGCACAATCACTACTTCAGAAATTAATTGCATAAGACTTGTGTGTGGGATGGTTGCCCCAAAAAGATATTTTATCTGTTTAATTGAGTAGCTGGGCACCCTAAATTCCTAATGAAGCTGATGAGATTTGAAGAGACAGGCATCTGTTAGGATTGGATTCCCTCCCTCTGCTGTTTTGTTTGTTTCTATAAAAAGTAATTAACTTTCATGCCTGTATACTAATGCAGTGACTACTGAGCCAGGCCTCTGGGATCTGGTTGGGAGACTGTGTGTATATCAGTCACATGCACTTCTAGATTCACTGGGATTGGTTGTCTATGTAACTGCCTCACACCTGACCTGTCAAGCTGCCATAATATTATTATTATAATATTAATATAGCTAATTAACAGATTCTTTTTAACATACTGTATAGTAATGATATAAGGTTTATCCCCAGTCAAGCAGTTATTCATTTAAGTGAACACCTTTGGAAAGTTAGTGAGATGCTATGTTCAAAATATTGCCTGCTAGCATGAATCATAATCTCTGTCAAAGTACAGTTGGGATACCTGATGTGAACACATTTCCCCGTTCACAAGGACACAGTGCTTTGTAAGACTGCAGTATAGGAACATGAATGTTTAGAAGCTTTTCAAAATTTCTTTACTCAAATTAAGCAGAGCTAATTATCACCCTGTTTCTGGGCTTAGAGAACATCGCAAACATATTGTAGAAAGTACTTTTCAGGATTATATCACCTTGAATGAAAAAATTTAAGTAGCCCTAAATTAGTTTATAGAACACATTGCAGTTGGAATATGGTAGATAACAGGTGCAAAGGTTGAAGATGCTTTTAGTGCCTGCTCCTACATACTATAGTTTTAACCTTTAATTTTTCTCCTTGATTGTCTTCTGTTATGTTGGCACATCTTTTTTTCAAGATAGTTGGAGGCACCCATGTAACTGAGGGCCAACTAGTAGGCCTGTGCAAAGCGGCTAGTATTCAGTTTGGATTTGGATTTGGCCAATTCAAGGGACAGCGATTTGATTCAGTGATTCAAATCACTGTCCCCAATCAATTTGGCTCAATCTGATTCAGATATTTGGCCGCCAACAGATCAGCCGAATCTCTGAATCAAACAGGCCCTAATGCATGCTTGCTCTTCCAGCCCCATCAATTGCTGCCCTGCCTGGCCCCATGCTGCATGAGGAACTCTGCCATGAGTCTCCATCCCCCCCCTCACTCAGCGCCCCCCCCCCCCATGGCTGCCCCG